CTGCAAACACTTAAAACACAGCAGAAATTATTAACCCAAACTAGTAAATTCTCATTACAATTGATATTAACAATTAATCCTTGGCAACGACGTCAGAAACTTGATAAACTTTTTGGCAAGTGCACCAAATCGTTGAAGTAACAAAAGATTATCGTCCACAGGGATTAATGTTAAGTACCAACTCACAAGAATAGCACTAATTGGGTCACCAAAAACAGAATATGAACATAATGTAAAATTACTAAGTGCAGAATTGTAAAAATAGAATTGAAAGTGCCAGAATTAATATTTATAAATGAACAGAACTGAAAAACTAAGGCTGGGGAATAAAAATCAAAATAATTACAGAATTTTAAATGTCTTAATTATTAGAAATAGTCTAAAAACAATTAAAAGGCAGGTTGAGTTTTGAATCCTTTATCATTTTCCCTTTGCATACAAATAAATTTATAAGTCAAAATACAACTTCATCTAATGGTCAGATTTTCTAAAATACTCAACCTTAATTCCTCGGTAATTGGTTCTAAAATGAAATTAGTGTCCTAATTCCTTAGTTACAATTAAAGACATTCAACATTAAGAATTAAATCCATTGACCACATCATCACAAATTTCTATTCCTAGATAATTTATAATGAGCAAATTAATCTCAGTCCAAGAAAGCTTACTACTTTCCAGTAATAAACTCATTTTCATCAACCCCATTCACGTAAAACAAGGAAGCATTAAGTTCAGAATTAAGATGTTAGTTCATTGCAAAGGGCAAAAGTATAAGTTAATCCTCACTCAACCCAAAGATATCTAGCTAGACATAATGCAAGTAAATAATATAAAACTGAAATATATTACAAATACTGAATTCATGTTCACAGAAGAGCTTACAGTAGATGGATGAAATGATAAAGTTACTGTTCTATTACATAAACCAGAGAAAATGAGATGAAATCCAAGTTCCCATAAGAATCCTTTACCAAAGATGTAAAGAAAAATACCCTAGCTACCATATTCTATGTAAGCTGTATGTAAAATCTAGGTTTCTGCGCTCTGGAATTGTAAAAGACAGAAAAGTAAAAGATGCTAAGATGCCGCCTTTTCAGAAATTTTTTGCTTTTATATGCTCAGTCAGCATCGTGTCCCCACAATCAGGAATCTGTGTCCCCACAAATGAGTCCTGCAACACTCATCTTTAGCTCTTTATGTCCAATTGCAATTTTTTTCTAATCCCTTCAAAATAAAACTGTCAACCATCAGAATATGAGTGATTCATGAATTTTTCAGCAAATACAACATTCCATTGAATTAGTGACGCATCACCAGACCATCCTAGGATAGGAATGAGTAGGGTATGTGCAGGGTACTCTAGTACTTACATCCGTACCCACGTTTAAAAAAAATATCTTTATCTAGTCGCATGGGTAGTAATTTTAATCTCTATAGCTGCCTTTTATACTCGCATTTATCTAAGAAAAAATATACTTATAAAAAAACATGTCTATATAATTTTACACAAGTAGCATAATAATACAAAAGTTTAATATGTAACTACTGAACAAAATTCAAGCATAGATGGAAAAAAAATATTTAAAAATCATAAGTGTTAAGTGTATTTTAAAACATCAACTTTCTATTTGAAGGAGTTACACCACGTACGTTTTCCATTTGTTATTACCTATGTCAAAACAAGAACTTAAATAAAAGATCTTATTTAACCTAAGTCAATATAATATCACAATTTTAATTGCTAAATTTCTAAACATTTTGTATGTGTCATATATAAATATTTTTTTTTAAATTTAATCTCATATCAACCATGTAATAATTAAATTGTATTAGTCTAGTTAAATGATATGACAAAATTTATTTTTATGGTTTACTTTATTGGTAAATATATTTTTATGTTAATCTTATAATACAAATTTAATTAGATAGATTTTTATATCTTTAAATATACATTCTTTTATTTGAGTAACATAAATATTTATATTAAATTTCTCAACCTTTTATTTTGCATAGAAAAAATTTTGAAAATAAAGAATTATAAATTGAAAATATTACTCAAAAATTCAAAATATAATATTTGTCCATTAAAAAAAAAATTAGCCTATAAAAAAACTTTAAACTGAGTAAAAAATATAAGACATGAAATTACATAAAATAAATAGTAAAATCTTTAAGTGAGTCCTATAATTGCAAACCACCCATGCATTATTTGCTTCTCTTTCATGTTCGTTATAGTTATTAGGCCTTATTAAGTCCATATGACTCACCTCCCCTATTATTTAATGTTCATAGATCATCAAGTAGCGGAGTTGTAGGTTATTGAGAATGTCAGTCCATGCTAGTAGAATCACTATTGGTAGGCCCCCATTGTCTTGGTGGCCTTGATATATATTTTTTCTTTTCTTTTGTTTGGACATTCTGCAACTGGTTAGTAGTTAAACTTTCATTTTGGATAAGTGTTAGATGTTTTAGCGTGGATATTATAATTATGTTAGAGTTTGGTTGGTTTTGGTTGAATTATAAATATATTTGTACAAACTATTATATTTTTGGAATAATGAAAATACAAAGAGAACTATGCTGATATCTTGTCCAATTTGTTGTATTGCTTGGTTAAAGAGGTTTGTTATCTTATGGGGTGGTTTCTAAGTAGGCTTGCGAGGTTAAGTGGTGTTTCCAAGTGACTCAGGCCTGTGGGCTGGTCATGAGCCTTCTTCTTGGTCGTGACAATAAAGTATTAACCTTCATTCCCTCTCATCATGAATTTTTGGGTTAAGACTTATCTCACATAAGTAGCATAATATATATATGCAGATATGAGGCAGAGTGAATATTTAGGTGCCCATACCCCGCACTTATTCCAATTAAAATTTGTGGGTATTTTTTCGTATCCACACTCGTATTTGTTTAACGGGTAAATACTCTACTCATTGAAAATAAATTTTATAAATACATATCGAGTACTTTATTCATTATCCATAAAAATAATAAGCACATTGTGTGTTTTTTTTTTCTCTTTCTTTGTCTCTCTTTCACTTTTTTATTTACTCTACTAATTGAAAATAAATTTTATAAATACATATCGAGTACTTTATCCATTACCTATAAAAATAATGAGCACATTGTGTGTTTTTTTTTCTCTTTCTTTGACTCTCCTTCACTTTTTTATTTTCTCTTCTTCAATGCCCAAACAATTTTAACACCACTACTCAAACATTTCTAACAAATACTGCACAAATATTTCAACACGTACAAATAAAAAATAAAATAAATTCAAAAATCAATATGGAAATGCAAAAGAAGATATAATAAATAACAACCATACACAAACATTTCTAACACCACTACCCCAACATTCCTATATGAATATGAAAATATTTTTAACACATCCACACAAACATTTTTTATAAGAGTCTCAAAAAGAAAAAAAAAAAGATATAATGAATAAAGATACACAAATATTTCTAAAATCACTGTCTAAATATTTATAACAAGAATACACAAACTTTTCACGATGTAGAACTATAAAAACATAAAGACGAAAATAAAAATTTAAAAAAAGATATTATGAATGAACATACACAAGTATTTCTAATACAAATATCCAAATCTTTGAACAACTATTTTTTAAAAAAAGACAGTAACGATAATAAAATTTATATAATCAATAATCTTTCGCAAAGTAAAAATAAGAAGAAAAATAAAAAATATGTAAAAATCAAGAAAAGAATATGAAGAGATTGTGAATTAAACAAGAAAAAAAAAAACAAAAATAGAGAGAGAAAAAATTAGAAAGAAAGGAGAGAGAAGAAAAAAAAAAGATGCGCTTGTTCTCAGGTTGATGGCTGAAAAGTGCTGTCCCCACTTTTTCTTATGATTGCATATTTAGGGGCTTAGAAAACAAAAATATATATCCAAATATTTAAAAATGTAAGCTAAATGGTGACTGGGGCATTGATGTAAATAAAAAATCCAATAAAACTTACGTTATGATATGTTTGTTACTATTTTTCCAGTACGAGTTGCAACTAAAATCGTGTATATTTTATTTTTCTTACAGGAACTACAATTACTCTAATTCTGATATTTGTAGCAGCAGAAACATTAACCCATACTATCCATTTGGCGAATCCTTGAACAGCTCGCAATACATCGTAACATGAAATTATGGGTGCGTTTGTTTCAGATGCGGTTTGCTAAACCCCACCCATATACAATCCTGATATGCTCCAATAAATTGTCCATGGCTGAAGAGCTCATTAGCTTTTTTAAAGTTTGAAAGGATACTATAATTGTGAATATATTGAGCTGAACACTGACGGGTGGTTCTGGCTGTACATCAAGAAGCATGAGAAATTCTCACCTAGTCTTGGATCGATTAATTAGTTTGAAGTAAGTATCTTTAGCTTAGAGAATTGTCTAATAAAAAATTCTTATCGAGTCAAGTGTATGATTTAATAATGAGATTTGTGTGGAGATAAAATGATCATGCTATTTAATGGTGGATATAGTTGTCGTATATTGTGCTGCATTTACTACGAGTTCCATGGAATCTCCTTTTCTTGCCTCTAGGGTCTGTTATAAGTGAGAAAGATTCCACTTATACACGTCCTCACTAGTGTTGGACCTACACGTAAAATCAAAGAACACATACAACTCACAAAGATTCAATTCTTAGAAATTCAATATTATTTTGTTATATAAGAAATTGTGATTACAAAGGATATTTATAGAAGTACTTAGGTACTTCTAACGATTAGTTTGACAATTTTTCTTCTATAATTCTCAACTAACAATTATTAACTTTTTTATTACAAAACATATCCTTTTATTATGTATAATAGTTTCCCCCTTTGGAAAATGCCTTGTCCTGAAGGCATGCGACTAGAAGGTTGCTGCAACAAGGCTTCCTACTTCGCCTCTGGAAATCTAGCTTTCAAATTATATAGTTCTACACAGCAAGCATCTTTTGGGCCTAATTGGTCCCATTGCACTAAAACTTATGTGACTGCCCGGTTAGCTTTCTTCTTCATCCGTCTATCTAGTATGACAATAGGTTGGACTTCAAGGTCTCCATCTTCATTGTAGTTTGGTAAAGGTTGGAATTGAATGTTGTGTCCATGACATTTCTTCAACAGGGAAATGTGAAAAACATAATGTATTTTAGAGCCTTGTGGCAGCTCTAACTTATATGCTACTTGTCCGATTCTTTCCAATACTTTGAAAGGGCTGAAATATCGTGCAACAAGTTTATGGAATGATGTGCTAGGCAAGGAGGTCTGCTTATAGGGCTGTAACTTCAAATAAACTAGATCACCAACTTTGTATTCTTTCTCAGTTCTTTTCTTATTTGCATTCACCTTCATTTTGTCTTGAGCCTGTTGTAAATTCTTCTTTAATAATGTAGAAATCTCGTCCCTGGTCTTAACAATGTAATCAACTGCTTGTATCATTGAGTCACTTACCAATAACGGTGTATTTAATATAGGTGGGTAGCCATACAAGGTTTGAAAAGGAGTAACTTGGGTTGAAGAGTGAAACTTGGTATTATACCAATATTCAGCCAACGCGAGAAACGCTGTCCATTTAGAGAGAATGCTTCCTGTAACACACCGTAGGTAACCTTCAAGTGTCTTATTTAATGCTTCAGATTGGCCATTCGTTTAAGGGTGGAAGGCTGTTGATTTGAGCAGCTGCACGCCATGTATGCTAAATAGGTCCTTCTAGAATGCACTCATGAAAATAGGATCTTTATCTGATATTATCTCTACTAACCAACCGTGTAGTTTGACTACCTTGTCCATGAATGAGTGTGCAACTTTAGGTGCAAACAAGGGATGAACAAAAGATATAAAATGGGCATATTTAGTTAATCTGTCTATGACCACCATAATAATTGTCTTGCCTTTTGATGATTGGAGTCCTCCAATAAAGTCCATTGATATTGATTGCCAAGTCTGGTTAGGGATGGGTAAAGGTTGAAGGAAACCTGCAGGATAGGTGAGCTAGGGCTTGTACCGTTGACATATATAACAGTTCTGGACTCAATCCTTCACTAATTGTTGCATTCCTTTCCACCAGAAAACTTCTCTCAATCTTCTATATGTTTGTGAGCTTCCTAAATGCCCTCCAAGAGCAGAATTATGGTAATAAGCCAAGAGTTTCCGTCTGATCATGATATCTCCCCCAACCATTATTTTGCCGTTTCTTTTGAGTATTTCTGCTGCCACACTAAATTTTTTGTAAGGCTGTTGAGTCACCTCTATTTTATCCCAAATTTTCTGTAATTTCATATCATTCTACCATGTGACTTTGACTTCTTGTAAGATTTCTGATCCAATTTGGAATATAGAGCATAAGCTGCTACCAGTCTCATTCCTTGACAATGTATCTGCTACTATATTTTCTCTGCCCTGCTTATATTCAATAGAGAAATCCAATCCTATTAGCTTCTCCAAACCTCAGTTCTGCGTCAATGTTGTAGGAGGCTGCTCCAAGATATATTTGAGTGCTTTTTGACATGTTTTAACCTTGAAATGATTTCCTAATAGGTAATGCTGCCATTTTTTTTACAGCAAATAAGATAGCACAAAATTCTTTGTCATATGTTGATAATAAACGATACCTCACTCCCATTGCTCTACTAATAAAGGCCACTGGATGTCCTTTCTGGAGAAGAACTACTACTATTCCTTGGCCAGAAGCATCTATTTCAATTGTGAATTCGTCATCAAAATTTGGTAATGCTAGTACAGGAGCCTTAGTGAGTGCCCTTTTTAGCTTTTGAAATGCTTCTTCTACTTCCTTAGTCCACTGAAATGCTGCATCTTTCTTCAGTAGGTTGGTTAATGCTTGTGCAATTTTGCCATAATTCTGAATAAATCTTTTGTAGTAGCCTGAAATCCCTAAAAATCCTCTGAGCTGTTTGACATTGGTAGGAGAAGTCCATGTTATGACAACATCTACTTTAGCAGGATCGAGTGCTACACCTTGTGCTGAAATTATATGTCCTAGGTATTCAACCTGTTGTTGTGCAAATGAACATATTTTTTTTTTCTGTTAAGGACCAACTGATTATCCATTAGAGTCTAAAATGCTATTTGTAAGTGTTGGAGTTGATCATCCCAAGTCTTGGAATAAACCAAGATATCATCGAAGAAGACCAAGATGAATTTTTGCAAATGTGGTCTGAATATGTCATTTATCAAATTCTGGAATGTGGCTAGTGCATTGGTGAGCCCAAATGGAAAGACTACCCATTCATAGTGGCCACTATGAGTTCTAAAAGTTGTATTGTGGATATCAGACTTCTCCATTCTGATTTGATTATAGCCACTCCTCAGGTTTAACTTAGTGAAGTAGGTTGCTCCTGCTAGTTCATCCAATAAATCCTCAATGATTGGAATAGGAAATTTATTTTTCACTGTTAGAGCATTCAATTCCTATAATCAGTGCATAGCCTCCATCCTCCGTCCTTTTTTCTGACTAACACCACTGGAGATGCAAAGACACTGTGGCTTTCTCTGATAAAACCACTTGCAAGCATATTTTACACTATGTCTTCAATAACTATTTTTTGTGAATGTAGATATCAGTATGGCTTGGAGTGTACTGGATTATCTTTTAACAGTGTGATTTTATGATCATATTTCCTTTGAGGAGGTAACTGGTGTGGCTCCTGAAATAATGCCTCATAATGCAACAACAATTCTTTCAATTCTGCTTTTTGTGAAGTTGTGAGGTCCTCCATAGCTCCTGCAGCAATTAGTAAATTGTTGAGGTGAACCATGTCTGAGATGGTCAAAAGCATTGCTCGACAAATGTTGGAACCAATCATGCTTTTCAATGCTGGCTGTAGTCTGTCCTATTGTTCTCTTTCTAATAATACAGTGTCGTCATTATGCTCAAATTGCATTGTATGTTTTGAGCAATTCCATCTAATTTCACCAAGTGTCGTAAGCCATAGCATGCCCAAAATTGCTCCATAGTGTGATCCAGGGAGAACTAAGAACTCACCTATAAACTCATGCCCTTTAAATTTCCAAAGTAATTGTTCACACTTCTTATTGATGAGTAATTGTTTTTCACTGGCTACCATTACTGGAAATTCTTTTATGAATTGAGTTTTGAGTCCTAGAGACTTAACCCATTTATTATTGATAAAGTTATGAGTAGAGCCAGTATCCTTTAAAAAAAGGGACCTCTTGTTTCTTGATCAGGCCTCTCAGTTGTAATGTTTGGCCTCCAGCAATGCCCTTAAGTGCCTGTAGAGAAATGTGGACATCATCCTCATGCAAAAGTTGGTTTCCAATGTGCAAGGCTTCTTCTACTATTGTTGTATCTTCAAGTTCTGCTTGATCATCATTGTCATCTCCTTGTGCAGCAAAGATGACACTTAACTTCCCCCAGACCTTGCATTTCTGTTTATGAAACTTTTCCCATGGTTCACCACAAAATCTACACAGGCCTTTGGAAATTCTCTCATTCATCTCTTTTCTATTTGGAGTAGCACCCGCTGTCTTGGTCTCTTTCTGTGTATTAGAAGCAGCATATGTTGCTGATTGAGATTGTTAGAGATTAGTGACAAGAATGTTTCGTTGGCTCATATTAGAATAACTCCAAGCACAAATTCCCCCTTTTTGAGGTTTCTGAATAGGGACGTTTTGCTGTTGTTAATCTTTTCTCCAATTCTTGCATAATATCATCTTGTAGTCGTGCAATTCGCATGACATCTTGGACAGATTTAGGATTGTGAACATGAACAGATTTCTCTAAAGAAGAATGTAAGCCTCCTAAGAAAAAACTAATTGTCATCTCTTCAAAAACTGTTACTCTAGCTAATAATTCATCAAATCTTTCAAGGTATTTTATCAAAGTTGAATCTTGTCTCAACTTGGATAATTCAGAAAGTAGATCATTGTAATTACCCATGTTAAACCGTGCTCTGACATTAGTCAAGATTGTTTACCAAGATTTGTTCTTGGATGCATTGAGTGCCATGTAATGTCGTTGCCATGTGAAAACCTTTCCATCCATGGATAGAAGAAGAAGTTTCCTTCGCTAGTTCTCTGGTGTATCTTCTAATTCAAAAAATTGTTCCGCCTTGGCGTGCCATTCCCGGTAGTTTGATCCATCAAATGAAGGAAATGGAATGCGAGCACGTTCGAGCACTTTGCATCCTTCGACATTATTCTCGTCTTCAACTTCGAGCTCAGGTTTGTTGCCGGAAGTGGAACCAATTGATGATATTTTTGCAAGAACTTGTTCCAGCATTGTTGACATTGACTCCATCGCCATCTTTATGTTGTGACGTGATTCAGCAAGACGTTATTCCAATCTTTTCTCCAAGACTTGAATGCTTTCTTCAAGATCCTTATTTGTTGTTGAACCTCCCATTATTGTTGCTAGCTAAGTCTGATACCAATTGTTATAAGTAGGAAGGATTCCACTTATACATGTCCTCATTATACTCACTAATGCTAGACCCACACGTAAAATTAAAGAACACACACGTTACTCATAGGAATTCAATTCCTAAAAATTTAATATTATTTTTTCATATAAGAAATTGTGATTATAAAGGATATTTATAGAAGTACTTAGAGACTTGTAACTGTTAGTTTGATAACTAACAACTATTAACTTTTTCATTACAAAACATATCCCTGCAGTTACCGCAGCAGTTCCTGTAAGCTTGTATCGTGCCAATCAAAATTGATGGCTCGGTAGCTATGTAAATATTGCCTGATGAACGGTGCATCCAATGAAGATTAGTGTAACATCCGGGCAAACAGAGGGGAGTTAGGATAAATTTCACTGAAACTAAAAAGTATGTGCAATCTTTCCAACGAAAAATTACATATACTTGATGACAAAGAGCATGCAACAATTTAAATTATTAATTGAACCAAAGTAAAAACCTTGCAACCACATGGCTAAGTTCACCTAACTTCAACAAATAACAAGAACTAAATCTCTGGCCAAAACATCAAAACATTGCAGTTCAGACAGTGAAACATACAACAAAAATAAAATATTACTGGCTTAATTTTGTCCCGCATCATCTTTAGGATTCGATGGGCTTAACAATCCAGCCCATGGTGCCGATAATGAGTGCAGAAAAGTCGCATTGACATAGAAGGTTTACGTTAGTTTAAATATCAAGATCCAAGAAGATTGAAACAGAAAAGTTATTGGTTTAAAAACCAGAATTGCATCTCACTTGGTCGTCACATTTGCATGTGTGGAGCCATCAATTGGTCCCATCATCAACCCCTTCCAAGATCGGAGTACACTCGTTCTATAAATAAACGCAATTAATTAGGATATTAAAAGAAAATAATATTTAAGAATAGAGAAGTTAGAAGCAGGTCCTGAGGGTAGGCTGAGAGTGCGATCGTCAAGGGCCCAGACCTGAAAGGGGCCCAAAATAAAAATTATAATACTTACTTGTAATTTGCAGTTGAAAAAATAAAAAAAATAAAGAAGACTTTTCAATTTCTCACACAATCACACTTTGCTTGTTAAAAACATAATTACTTCTTTGACTTCTCCAGGCCTTTTAACAGTGTGTATGCAATTCTGTATTTTATCATAATAAAAAAGACAAAACCCACCATTGTTGCAGGTAGTTCTTTCCTCCTCACTTTTCTTTTTCTTTTTTCTTTCTTCCTCCCTGTTCCTCAATCCTTATTCGACAAATGTTAAAAAAACCGTTTACCTAAAAAATTGATTTTGTTATTTATTATGTACAGATAACCCACTTACCCACATTTGTTACAAAGACATCTTTGCTTTTCTTTTTAGTGGGAAAAGTAAGGAAGCTAAAAGAGCTATTATGCAATTCAAACCCAGTTAAGCGTTTCGCGTTTGAAAGGTGATTAATTCGCTATTTATATAAATGCTTTAGTAGGAATATTTATATTATGAATAAGGAGCGCCATTTTTATTTTTCTTTTGGTTTATTAATTATGTTCCATCTCCTGACTCTTGTTACAGCTGTGTTTTATTGCAGAATTTGTGCTGGTTGCAATGCCATGATTGAATGTGTAATATTTGTGAGTTTAGAATTTGTGCTGGTTGCAATGCCATGATTGAATGTGTAATATTTGTGAGTTTCCTGGAGCTGTTTGGCATCCAAAACTAGCGACTGCTGTAATTAGGAATAATCATCACATTAATTAGGAGATTTGATTTACTATAATCCTTTGCATTGTGGTTTCAGGTTATGCCTTTATGAAATATAGTATATTATCTATTATATGTAGCATATTGCATACGAATTATAATTATAGTCTGCAAGTTTACAATATGTTGTTATGCCTTTGATTATCATCTTGTTCCCTAATTGATTATCATAATTATATTTTCAGATTCCTAGGAACTGGATTATGCTTGTGGAATTTGCATATGTGAAAGCAAATATTTAAGTTGATTTCTTCTACCAGATGCTATTGTTCTTTTTCTCTTGTTTTATGATTGTATTGTCTTATTTATCTTTTATATGTAATGTTACCTAAAAAGCATTTATCTGGAAGTGAAAAAAGAAAAAAAAAAGAAAACATACTGAAGAGTTAAAAAAATTAATTGAATGGATTTTTTTTTGTAATTTTATAAGAAAAAAATTCTATTTACTTAAAAAACATATTATTTTAATAGAATTATGCTTTTATTTTGTTGTATTATGTCATATAATTTTTTTTAAATAGGCTCCAATTTAATATTTTGCCTAGTGCTAAAAAAAAGTCAGGAACAGGCCTGGTTAGAAGTTTCTGAATTGAAAACTCACAACTTTGATTTCTATAGTAGATGTTAACTATACTAGATGCTATCACTCAGGTTTTGATTTCTACTCACATGGAAAATCATTATTCAAAGCAACCACATCAGATGTAACCCAAAAAGTTTTTGGAAGCAACAAAATCTTCAATCCCTCTGAAAATACAGAGCCAATGAAGTATATAAGATCAGGTAATCCATATATCCATGCATCAAAACATATCTAAGTAATCCAAATACCTAAAATGTTGCGATTAGGGTGAAAATGAAAATTTAAAATATAAATACATAGTAAGGACTTTGAAGAAACTTTTAAGCATGGAGTTAAAGAGGAAATTACCTCAATGCCAAAGCCATTGCGGAAGCTGAAGCGAGGACACTGTTGATCCTCGTTGTATGTAGCTGCCGATACAAACATTGGGGATGTGAGCAAGTCTCAACTCTTCTCTTCTCCATCTGTCGCTTAAGATTGGGCACCCGATTACTACGAGATTTTGTAGTGATTTGAGGTTAAGAATTCCTTCAGATGGTGAAGTCAGAAACACGCAACTCCACAGCTCAAGACGGACGAGTGATGAGAGACCCCAAATCCAGTCTGGCAAACTTGTGCCGGAAAATCCAGTTATTGCTAGGATTTTGATTGAGCGATGCGGCTGTAGGCCTTGTAAAATTATCTCATCATTATGTACAGCTTCTTCATCTTCGTTCCCTTGGTAAAATTCTGACCACCATAATCGCAACTCTTGCAAATGTGCTTTCGCAACAAGTACCTTTGCGTTGTCAACATCTCGAGCACATTGGCGCAGAAAATTCAACCTTGTGATATATAGTTTTCTGAGGTTGATTAGACCACTCAGTGCTCTTAGCCTGCTAACGCTGTCGGTAGGGCCCATTGCAAATGGCATTAGAGTATGGAGACTTGATAACTCCCCCACACCCTGCGGCATACATTCTAGGCGAATTGGGTAACCAAGGATTGAAAAGTGCCGGAGATTTATCAGTTTATTGACATCTGATGGTAGTTCTTTCACCTTGGGGCATCGAATGAGCCACAGAGTTTGCAAGTTAGGTAAGCCAGTAATCTCCGATGGGAGCTTCTGCAGCCAGGGAAAATTTGAAAGTTGAAGGTATCTCAGATGCTTCAACTCTTTGATACTTTCTGGAATTTCTTCAATGTCCAAATTAAAAAGCTTTAGTGTACGTAAGCACTTTAGGTTTAAAACATAACCAAAAGCTGACGAGCCTGAATAAATTTCAGTGTAATATTCAGTGCAAAGAAGAGTCCTTATTTTAACTCCTTTTGTCAAAGAAGATGATACATTACTAGCAAAAATTGAGGGAAAATGACATGACAGACGGCGGGTTCTCTGTTTTATGTCAGCTTCTTTTCCTTCTCTGAGAACAGCATATTCATTTCCAGCTACCAAATGTGCTAAGTCATGCATAAGATCGTGCATTTTGCACCATATTTCTCCGAAGACATCCCTTTCGACATCTTGAAAGAAAGATTTTGACATCAAATCCATGAAGTACTCATGTCCAACATCTTCTTCACATCTAGTGTCATCTGAGAGTTGAATAAATCCCTCCGCCATCCACAACCAAATGAGTTGAGATTCTTCAAACCGATAACCTTTTGGAAACAAAGAACAATATGCCACACAATGTTTTAAACAAGAGGGAAGATAATCATAGCTCAACTTAAGAACTGCTAAGGTTTTGTCCTCCTTTTGTTCAATTTTTGGAAACTCAACATCTCTGATATGTCGCCAATAATTATACTCGCACTTTCGAGAGAACAAGAGACTACCAACACTTCTTATGGCAAGGGGAACTCCTCCACATTTTTTAACAATGACCTTTCCAATGTCTACCAATTCTGAATCACGAGGCTCTGTTCCCTCATCAAATGCCATTTGACAGAATAGCTTCCAAGATCTTTCAAAGTCTAAACCTTCCAATACAACGTGTTGATATGCGCTCATTATGTTTGCCACTCTTTTATTACGTGTGGTGACAATTATCTTACTACCATGTCCTCCTTCCATCAATAAGCGTTTCAATTGAATCCACAATTCACGATCTTCACTCCACACGTCATCCAACACTAGTAAATATTTCTTCCCTCGAATTTTGTCTCTTAATTTTTGTTGCGCCTCCTCGATCCCAACAATATTTTCGGCTTGCCCAAGAATATTTTGTGCTCGCCCACCATTATTTTTGTTTTCTTTTTGACAGGCTTGCCTAACAATATTTTGAGCTATTTTACATATGTCAAATTCATGGGAGACCCATACCCACATTGTGAGATCAAACTTTCGTTGGACCTCCTCATCATTGTACACTAACTGAGCAAGCGCAGTCTTACCTAATCCTCCAATCCCAACTACGGAAATCACAGAAACATTATCGGTTACATTGGCATCAAATAAATAGCCTTTAAGACGATTCTTTTCTTCCTCTCTCCCTATGATTTCATCTTCCCTCACAAAAGAGAAGGTTTGCCTTTGCCTATATGCATCTGGATTCTCAACAGCGTAATTATGCAGTTGAAGCTGCTGCCTAGTATTTGCAACATCATCGAGCCTCTTCCTGATTTCTTTCATTCTGTGACCCATTTTGAAAGCATAGGCAATTTGATTCTGTTTGGAGAAGAAAGTTTTCAACTTTCTTATCATCTTACTTCCTCTCATCAGTTTCCTTCTCAAAGCTTCAGTAGAGAAATCATCTAACAAGTCATCTGCATCAAAAAGTATATCTTTGAGGTCCTCCACCCAAGTCCTAACTTGATGTTGATTGGCCTTTGCCTCTGCATCCTTGAGCACTGCTGTTATTGAAGAGACTATGCTCTCAATTTTTTGTTTATCATCTCTGAGGTTACATATGATTCCGAGCTCTTTCACAGCGAGAGAGCTCAACCCTCCAATAACTTTTTCAGCTATGAAATCCATCCTTCTACAATGGATAATTTGCACAATCATTAATAATTCTAATGATAATAATAATAACCATCTTGCAGGTCAAACAAATTCAGGTGAGTACAAAATAAATGAAGCAAGACTCTACAGTCGAATTAGCAAAAAACAATTAATTAGGCTAGTCACAGAATCAAACTTTTGAAGAATAAAATGAAGGAATCTTTAAGTAAAAAATGAAAATCGTGGAATATTACATTCTAATATACATTAATTTTTTATTCAGAAGAAAAATGAAAAAAGTTCTATACTCTTCAAACCATCCAAACGTAAAGAAAAATTTTACGCTCCTCAAACATTTTTTTCTGAACAGGATAACTTAATATGGAGTGATTTGTTGGCACAGGTGTAAAACTTGACATAAATACTTACCTTTCTTTTATACTATATAGTTTTTGTCTATTCAATGGTTGAATTATAGCTAAACTTCCGGATTAGTGTAAAATTTTGTAGAGATGATCTATAGCATATCAACTTTCCTTCTCGATGTGAGTTTTGGAAAAACTACAAGTAAGTGAGAGTTATTAAAGGTGTAAGATATGCACCTAAGTATTATATCGTAAACAGACCACTGCTCTAAAGTGTGTGTGTGTATATATATAACACGCTTCCCTAGTTCTATGTTCTATGATGCAATAACACCAAAAATATTAGAGAAAGAGAGCTACTGACCTGCTTATCAAAATGGGCCGAGTTCAGAGATGCAGAGATTTGTGTAGCCTAATGCTTGTGCTCTATTTTGTTTTGGAATTGAAGGGCATGAAGAAGGAAACAACCCACTCAGTGACAATGGTGGGTCATAGTCCAGGTTGTGGTCCCCAACCCAATTGTTTTCGATATATATGGTTCAAGGGGCCCGGCAAATAATGGGGGCAGAAAGATCAGTTATATATTTAATGTACTATAATAAAACACAAGGACAAAGGGGCCGAAAATAAGTGCGGGCTTGATGGGCTATGAGCTTGAGGCCAATCCCAATTTGACACTTAGCACAGGTTTAATTATGTCAAGTACGAACCAGCGTTACCGTCATCAAGGACCATAATGTGGCTTTTTTTTTGTCACAATATAATAAATTTAAAAATAAATTATTAAAATAAAATTTTTATAAAATATTTTTTCATTAGATGATTTTTTTTAGTTGAGTGACGTTTTTTATATAGTCTATTTTTATTTTTATAATAATAAAATATAAAATATTAGTTATATAAAAGTTGACACTTATTTTTTAATAATAAAAAAATAAATGTCATTCATGTATAAACTGACATTTATTTTTTATTATTAAAAAAATAATATTATGAATCAAAACTCCTTTTACATAATTCATTTTACTGTCTATTTCTCTTAAATTTCTTCAAAGTTTCTTTTTCATTCACTTAAATACACAACTTGTATTTTTATCAAGAATTTTGTATCCTCAAATAAAAGATCCAAAAAAATTAAGATCCTTCACATCCCTTGGTTCAAAGAAGCAAGAATTTAGAGAATTAATTAGAATCATAATCACCGAGATACAGCTGCAAAATTCTATTCACTTACTTTAACCTATTTTCAATGTCAATATAAAAATGAAATATAACATATTAATTGTTAAATTTCTAAACATTTTGTATGTATCATATATAAATAATTTTTTAAAAAAAAAATTCAATCTCATATCAACCATATAATAATTAAATTGTATTAGTCTAGTTAAATGATATGAACAAAATTTATTTTTATGGTTTACTTTATTGATAAATATATTTTTATGTTAATCTTATAATATAAATTTAATTAGACAGATTGTTATATCTTTAAATATACATTCTTTTATTTGAGTAACATAAATATTTATATTAAATTTCTTAACCTTTTATTTTGCATAGAAAATTTTTTGAAAATAAAAAATTATAAATTGAAAGAAAATATTACTCAAAAATTCAAAATATAATATTTGTCCATTAAAAAAAAAGTTAGCGTAAAATTTTTTTTGAACTGAGTAAAAAATATAAGACATGAAATTACATAAAATAAATAGTAAAATATTTAAGTGAGTCCTATAATTGCAAACCACCCATGCATTATTTGCTTCTCTTTCATGTTCGTTATGGTTATTGGCCCTTATTGAGTCACCTCTCCTATTATTTAATGTTCATAGATCATCAAGTAGCAGAGTTATAAGTTACTGAGAACGTCAGTCCATTTTAGTAGAATCACTATTAGTAGGCCCCATTGTCTTGACAACCTTGATATTTTCTTTTCTTTTCTTTTGTTTGGACATTCTGCAGTTGTTTAGTAGTTAAACTTTTATTTTGGATAAATATTAGATGTTTTAGCGTGAATATTATAATTATGTTGGAGTTTGGTTGATTTTGGTTGAATTATAAATATATTTGGACAAACTATTATATTTTTGGAATAATGAAAATACAAAGAGAACTATGCAGAAATCTTGTCCAATTTGTTATATTGCTTGGTCGAAGAGGTTTGTTATCTTATGGGATGGTTTCTAAGTAGGCTTGCGAGGTTAAGTAGTGTTTCCAAGTAACTTAGCCTGTGGGCTGATCATGAGCCTTCTTTTTGGTTGTGACAGTAAAGTATTAACCTTCATTCCTTCTCATCATGAATTTTTGGGTTAAGACTTATCTCACATAAGTAGCATAATTAATAATATATATATATATATATATATATATATATATATATATATATGTATATGCAGATATGAGGCAGAATGAATATTTAGGTACCCATACCCCGCACTCATCCCAATTAAAATTTGTGGGTATTTTTTCGTTTCCACACTCGTATCTGTTTAACGGATAAATACTCTACTCATTGAAAATAAATTTTATAAATACATATCGAGTACTTTATCCATTACCCATAAAAATAATGAGCATATTGTGTGTTTTTTTTTTCTCTTTCTTTGACTCTCCTTCACTTTTTTATTTTCTCTTCTTCAATGCCTAAACATTTTCAATAAAAAGACCCAAACAATTTTAATACCACTACTCAAACATTTCTAACAATACGGCACAAATATTTCAACACGTACAAATAAAAAATAAAATAAATTTAAAAATCAATATGGAAATGCAAAAGAAGATATAATAAATAACAACCATACACAAACATTTCTAACACCACTACCCCAACATTCCTATATGAATATGAAAATATTTTTAACACATCCACACAAACATTTTTTATAAGAGTCTAAAAAAGAAAAAAAAAAGATATAATGAGTAAAGATACACAAATATTTCTAAAATCACTGTCTAAATATTTATAACAAGAATACACAAACTTTTCACGATGTAAAACTATAAAAACATAAAGATGAAAATAAAAATTTTAAAAAAAATATTATGAATGAACATGCACAAGTATTTCTAATACAAATATCCAAATCTTTGAACAACTATATTTAAAAAAAGACAGTAACGATAATAAAATTTATATAATCAATAATCTTTCGCAAAGAAAAAATGAAGAAGAAAAATAAAAAATATGTAAAAATCAAGAAAAATATATGAAGAGATTGTGAATTAAACAAGAAAAAAAAAACAAAAATAGAGAGAGAAAAAATTAGAAAGAAAGGAGAGAAAAAAATAAAAAATAAAAAGATGCACTTGTTATCAGGTTGATGGCTGAAAAGTGCTGTCCCCACTTTAGCACTTAAAACTATATTTTTCTTATGATTGCATATTTAAGGGGTTAGAAAACAAAAATATATATCCAAATATTTAAAAATGTAAGCTAAATGGTGACTGGGGCATTGATGTAAATAAAAAATCCAATAAAACTTAGGTTATGATATGTGTGTTACTATTTTTCCAGTACGAGTTGCAACTAAAATCGTGTATAATTTCTTTTTCTTGCAGGAACTACAATTACTCTAATTCTGATATTTGTAGCAGCAGAAACATTAAACCCCATACTATCCATTTGGCGAATCCTTGAACAGCTCGCAATACATCGTAACATGAAATTATGGGTGCGTTTGTTTCAGATGCGATTTGCTAAACCCCACCCATATACAATCCTGATATGATCCAATAAATTGTCCATGGCTGAAGAACTCATTAGCTTTTTTAAAGTTTGAAAGGATACTATAATTGTGAATATATTGAGCTGAATACTGACGGGTGGTTCTGGCTGTACATCAAGAGCATGAGAAATTCTCACCTAGTCTTGGATCGATTAATTAATTTTAAGTAAGTATCTTTAGCTTAGAGAATTGTCTAATAAAAAATTCTTATCGAGTTAAGTATATGATTTAAGCATTAGATTTGTGTGGAGATAAAATGATCATGCTATTTACCGGTAGATATAGTTGTCGCTGCATTTACTACGAGTACCATGAAATCTCCTTTTCTTGCCTCTAGGGTCATTGACGGTTATTTTCATTTCTCCATACTTTAATTCTGGTTATAAACGATAGAAATTACCCTTGACATCCTCTAACTTTGAGGATGGGGATAATAGCTCTGTTTAGAGGTAGAACTAAAGATAAGAAGAAGAAAATTGATACTCTGATATCCTTCATTGATTTATCGTAACAGTTTATATAATAAAGCTTTCAGTAGAACAAACAATCAAAAAGCATTATAACCTGTCAGCTAAATGATAAAAGACTAATTCTAGCAAATATCTAGACATTCCTATAAATTCAGGATATTGACTTTCATTCTAGTGGATATAGAGTTAGGATAAATTTCACTTAAACTAAAAAATATGTGCAATCTTTCCAATGAAAAATTACATATTCTTGAGGATAAAGAGCATGCAACAATTTAAATTATTAATTGAACCAAAGTAAAAACCTTGCAATCACATGGCTAAGTTCACCGAACTTTAACAAATAACAAGAACTAAATCTCTGGCCAAAACATCAAAACATTGCAGTTCAGACAGTGACTGCCATCAAACATACAACAAAAATAAAATATTACTGGCTTAATTTTGTCCCGCATCTTCTTTAGGATTCGATGGCCTTAACAATCCAGCCCATGGTGCCGATAATGAGTGCAGAAAAGTCGCATTGACGTAGAAGGTTTACATTAGTTTAAATATCAAGATCCAAGAAGATTGAAGCAAAAAAGTTGTTGGTTTAAAAAGCAGAATTGCATCTCACTTGGTCATCACATTTGCATGTGTGGAGCTACCAATTGGTCCCATCATCAGCCCCTTCCAAGATCGGAGTACACTCGTCCTATGAATAAACGCAATTAATTAGGATATTAGAAGAAAATAATATTTAAGAATAGAGAAGTTAGAAGTTGAAGTTTCTGAATTGAAAACTCACAACTTTGATTTCTATAGTAGATGTTAACTATACTAGATGCTATTACTCAGGTTTTGATTTCTACTCACATGGAAAATCATTATTCAAAGCAACCACATCAGATGCAACCCAAAAAGTAGTTCGAAGCAACACTTGAAAATACAGAGCCAATGAAGCATATAAGATCAAGTAATCCATATATCCATGCATCAAAACATATCTAAGTAATCCAAATAGCTAATATGTTGCGATTAGAATGAAAATGAAAATTTAAAATATAAATACATAGTAAGGACTTCGAAGAAACTTTTAAGCATGGAGTTAAAGAAGAAATTACCTCAATGTCAAAGCCATTGCCAATACGGGAACATTCCTCGTTGTATGTAACTGTCGATAAAAACATTGGGGATGTGAGCAAGCCTCAACTCTTCTCTTCTCCATCTGTCGCTTAAGATTGGGCATCCGATTACTACGAGATTTTGTAGTGATTTGAGGTTCAGAATTCCTTCAGATGGTGAAGTCAGAAACACACAACTCCAGAGCTCAAGACGGACGAGTGATGAGAGACCCCAAATCCAGTCTGGCAAACTTGTGCCGGAAAATCCAGTTATTGCTAGGATTTTGATTGAGCGATGCGGCTGTAGGCCTTGTAAAATTATCTCATCATTATGTACAGCTTCTTCATCTTCGTTCCCTTGGTAAAATTCTGACCACCATAATCGCAACTCTTGCAAATGTGCTTTCGCAACAAGTACCTTTGCGTTGTCAACATCTCGAGCACATTGGCGCAGAAAATTCAACCTTGTGATATATAGTTTTCTGAGGTTGATTAGACCACTCAGTGCTCTTAGCCTGCTCTCGCTGTCGGTAGGGCCCATTGCAAATGGCATTAGAGTATGGAGACTTGATAACTCCCCCACACCCTGCGGCATACATTCTAGGCAAGTTGGGTAACCAAGGATCGAAAGGTGCCGGAGATTTATCAGTTTATTGACATCTGATGGTAGTTCTTTCACCTTGGGGCATCGAATGAGCCACAGAGTTTGCAAGTTAGGTAAGCCAGTAATCTCCTATGGGAGCTTCTGCAGCCAGGGAAAATTTGAAAGTTGAAGGTATCTCAGATGCTTCAACTCTTTGATACTTTCTGGAATTTCTTCAATGTCCAAATTAAAAAGCTTTAGTGTACGTAAGCACTTCAGGTTTAAAACATAACCAAAAGCTGACGAGCCTGGATAATTTTCTGTGTAATCTTCAGTGCAAAGAAGAGTCCTTATTTTAACTCCTTTTGTCAAAGAAGATGATACATTACTAGCAGAAATTAAGGGAAAATGACAGGACAGACGGCGGGTTCTCTGTTTTATGTCAGCTTCTTTTCCTTCTCTGAGAACAGCATATTCATTTCCAGCTAACAAATGTGCTAAGTCATGCATAAGATCGTGCATTTTGCACCATATTTCTCCGAAGACATCCCTTTCGACATCTTGAAAGAAAGATTTTGACATCAAATCCATGAAGTACTCATGTCCAACATCTTCTTCACATCTAGTGTCATCTGAGAGAATAAATCCCTCCGCCATCCACAACCAAATGAGTTGAGATTCTTCAAACCGATAACCTTTTGGAAACAATGAACAATATGCCACACAGTGTTTCAAACAAGAGGGAAGATAATCATAGCTCAACTTAAGAACCCCTAAGGTTTTGTCCTCCTTTTGTTCAATTTTTGGAAACTCAACATCTCTGATATGTCGCCAATAATTATACCCCCACTTTCGAGAGAACAAGAGGCTACCAACACTTCTTATGGCAAGGGGAACTCCTCCACATTTTTTAACAATGACCTTTCCAATGTCTACCAATTCTGAATCACGAGGCTCTGTTCCCTCATCAAATGCCATTTGACAGAATAGCTTCCAAGATCTTTCAAAGTCTAAACCTTCCAATACAACGTGTTGATATGCGCTCATTATGTTTGCCACTCTTTTATTACGTGTGGTGACAATTATCTTACTACCATGTCCTCCTTCCATCAATAAGCGTTTCAATTGAATCCACAATTCACGATCTTCACTCCACACGTCATCCAACACTAGTAAATATTTCTTCCCTCGAATTTTGTCTCTTAATTTTTGTTGCGCCTCCTCGATCCCAACAATATTTTCGGCTTGCCCAAGAATATTTTGTGCTCGCCCACCATTATTTTTGTTTTCTTTTTGACAGGCTTGCCTAACAATATTTTGAGCTATTTTACATATGTCAAATTCATGGGAGACCCATACCCACATTGTTAGATCAAACTTTCGTTGGACCTCCTCATCATTGTACACTAACTGAGCAAGCGCAGTCTTACCTAATCCTCCAATCCCAACTACGGAAATCACAGAAACATTATCGGTTACATTGGCATCAAATAAATAGCCTTTAAGACGATCCTTTTCTTCCTCTCTCCCTATGATTTCATCTTCCCTCACAAAAGAGAAGGTTTGCCTTTGCCTTTATGCATCTGGATTCTCAACAGGGTAATTATGCAGTTGAAGCTGCTGCCTAGTATTTGCAACATCATCGAGCCTCTTCCTGATTTCTTTCATTCTGTGGCCCATTTTGAAAGCATAGGCAATTTGATTCTGTTTGGAGAAGAAAGTTTTCAACTTTCTTATCATCTTACTTCCTCTCATCAGTTTCCTTCTCAAAGCTTCAGTAGAGAAATCATCTAACAAGTCATCTGCATCAAAAAGTATATCTTTGAGGTCCTCCACCCAAGTCCTAACTTGATGCTGATTGGCCTTTGCCTCTGCATCCTTGAGCACTGCTGTTATTGAAGAGACTATGCTCTCAATTTTTTGTTTATCTTCTCTGAGGTTCCATATGATTCCGAGCTCTGAGAGAGCGAGAGAGCTCAACCCTCCAACAACTTTTTCAGCTATGAAATCCATCCTTCTAAAATGGATAATTTGCACAATCATTATTAATTATAATGATAATAATAATAACCATCTTGCAGGTCAAACAAATTCAGGTGAGTACAAAATAAATGAAGCAAGACTCTACGCTCAAATTAGCAAAAAACAATTAATTAGGCTAGTTACAGAATCAAGCTTTCGAAGAGTAAAATGAAGGACTCTTTAAGTAAAAAATGAAAATCGTGGAATATTACATTCTAATATACATTAATTTTTTATTCAGAAGAAAAATGAAAAAAGTTCTATACTCTTCAAACCATCCAAACGTAAAGAAAAATTTTACGCTCTTCAAACATTTTTTTCTGAACAGGATAACTTAATATGGAGTGATTTGTTGGCACTGGTGTAAAACTTGACATAAATACTTACCTTTCTTTTATACTATATAGTTTTTGTCTATTCAATGGTTGAGTTATAGCTAAATATTGTGTTGATTGACGTACTTTCGGATTAGTGTAAAATTTTGTAGAGATGATCTATAGCATATCAACTTTCATTCTCGATGTGAGTTTTGTAAAAAGTACAGTAAGTGAGAGTTATTAAAGGTGTAAGATATGCACCTAAGTCTTATATCGTAAACAGACCACTGCTCTAAAGTGTGTGTATATATATAACACTCTTCCCTAGTTGAACTATGATGCAATAACACCAAAAAGCATAGAGAAAGAGAGCAATGAGCCGAGTTCAGAGATGCAGAGATTTGTGTAGCCTAATGCTTGTGCTCTATTTTGTTTTGGAATTGAACGGCACGAAGAAGTCACCAAGAAGGGAAGGACGCAACCAACTCAGTGACAGTGGTGGGGCATAGACCAGGTTGTGTCTGCCCCCAACCCAATTGTTTTGTTGGTATATGTGGATCAAGGGGCCCGGTAAATAACGGGGGTAGAAAGATCAGTTATATATTTAATGTAGTAAAATGGTTAATTTATTTAAATAATGTATTTTTTAAAATAAATTCTTATAAGAAGATTTTTTTAAAATTAATTCTCTGTCTAGTACGATAAGAGCAATAGACATTGGACGGTTAAGATATTGACACGTGTTCTCAACAAAATTGTATCGGAGCTTTAGAAACGATAGTCATGTCTTTGGTCAAATGCATACTTACATTATTATTTTGTTCTTTGTTACATTAAAAAAAAATAATATTGTCTCTTGAAATCACAACGACGACCAGGTGTGCGTCAACTAGCAACTGTAAATCGTTAAACTGTTGCAATAAAACCACCAGTTAAGGAACTTCCATCTCCTACCTATAGCACAACTTCAAGTCAGCTCCAAAGGGAGGTAGCAAAGGAACCACCATTGTTCTTGTCTTTGTGCCAAACATTAATTAAAAAGAGAATGAAGAAGACAAATGAATAGCTTTAATTATAATTAATTAATTTAGTTAATTAAAACTGTGCTGTGTTGTGTAGTTGTTCACTTGGTGTGTGAAAGGTACTTCTACAGGAAGAAGGAGAAAATAATAGAAAAGGAGAATTTTCAGGGAGAAAGTAATACTTTACTAATTCTTGGTTGTCCTTTTCTATAACATTAATGTGCTATATATGCACAATTGGCAACTGCCTTGCACCACTAATCATGCGCAAAGGAAAAAAGAAAATACAAGGAGTATTTGCAATCATTTTTTCCTATCCAATTTCTCTTTTTTATGGGAAGTAGGACACGTGACCACATAATCCTTGAGGTGTCGTGGCTAGTGAATGATTCTCTTTGAGCTCTCCTCATGGACCTCAAGTGAGATAGGCAATTGAATTGAGTCTTTAATTGGGCTGTTAGGAGGAGTAAGGATAATGAGTCTTGCAGTCCTTACATCTCCTTTGGGTTCGAGAAGCACCTTGTCCTCAAGGTAGAACTATTTCTAAATTTGGAACCAAGGCTCCTAGCTAGCCTCTTCTAATGGCATTCCCTTCCATTGGATCAATACTTGAATTTGTCAGAAGTTTTCCAGAGCATGACCCTGTAACTAAGGATTGAGGATTGCCTACATGGGAAAAGTCGAACATAAACCTAATCACCCACATCAAATTGCAAATCCTGACGAGACTAGTCAGCCCATTTTTTCATTGCCTCTTGAGCTTTCTTCAAATTAGACTTGAGCTTTTGGAGAATTTCAGCATGAGTAGAGAGTTTGTACTAAATTGCTGCATTGGAAGTGTCCTCAGGAAGGAATAGTGCCATGAGAGGGGGTTTATGACCATACAACACTTCAAATGGTGCAAAACCTGTGGAAGCATTTACTGATGTGTTAAAGCTCCATTCAGCCCAAGAAAGAAATTGTCCCAAAGAGAAGGTTTGTGATGCACAAAATAGTGAAAGTACTGCTGCAACACCTTGTTAGTCGCCTCAGTTTGGCCATCCGTTTAAGGATGATACGCAGTAGACATACAGAGTTTGGTACCACTTAGCCGAAAAAGTTCTTGCCAAAATTGATTGATGAAAATAGGGTCACAGTCAGAGATAAGGCAATGTGGTAAACCATGAAGCTTACAAACTATGTCTATGAATAATTGAGCTACGCTGGTTGCAGAGAAAGACTTGGGAAGTATCCCAAAATGTGCACCCTTAGAGAATCTGTCCATGACCACTAAAATCGTAGTGAAACCCTTATAAGGAGAAAGGCGGACAATGAAATCAAGGGATAAATCTTCCCAACAACGCGATGGAGGAGGGATTGGTTGTAATAGCCCATGTGTGCATTGTGTAGAAATTTTAGTTTGCTGACATGTGTGGCATTGTTCCACAAATTGATGGACATCTCTGGGAATGGTGGACCAATAAAAATCGGCCAAAAGCTTACTCATGGTGCGAGATACTCCTGTATGTCCTACCATAGAAGTAAAGTGGAACTCGTGGAGGAGAAGTGGGATGAAAGAGCAAGAGGGTGGTAGCCATATTTTATCCTTGTATAAAATGAAGTCATCCTTGATGGAAAAATGCGGGAAGTCACTTGGAGCAGCAGACATTTTGTCCCTTAATTCTATGAATTTTGGATTTGCCGACAAGGAGGATTTGAGGTCCTTAAAAAATTTCAGATGTGTAATGGACAGGACATAGATGGACAATAATGTGGGCTCATTACCTTGGTCAAGAGGCCCGTGAAGGCATGAAAGAGCATTAGTGGCAGTATTAGACTTCCCTGGCCTGTACTGTATTTCGAAGTCAAAACCCAACAGTTTGAATAGGTAATTTTGCAACTCTAGTGTGAGAACTGTTTGGGTGAGGAGTTCCTTTACAGACTGTTGATCCGTTTGGATAACAAAGTGACAGCTTAAGAGATACTGGCACCATTTCTGTACTGCTAAAGTAATTGCACATAACTCGCGTATATAAGTGGAAGAGTTGTGAAGTTTAAGGCAGAATTGCTTACTAAAATAAGCAATTGAGTGTCCATTATGTACAAGAACAGCTCTTATGCCTATTCCTAATGCATTTGTTTGGACTGTGAACAAGGAGTCAAACTTGGGAATAGCCAAAATAGGTGCTGTAAGAAAAGTGTGTTTGAGGTGATTAAAAGCCTCTTATGCTTGATCACTCCATAGAAAGTTATCCTTCTTGAGAATGTGATAAGTTCATATTTTGATATATTTTATGACTTATATTTATACGTTTAAACCCTATTTCTTATATATTTATATTAATTATGTTATTATTTGTTGTAGTTTAGCTGGAACAATTATTAATGCATTATGGAGATATTCTAGATAAAATTTAGATACTTTTAGTCCTTGGTTTTGCTATGTGAATCTGAGTTTGAATTTTGAATTTAAACTTAGATAAAGATTGAGATATAAAGATTGAGAGCGATTTTGATTGTGAATAAAATTGATTTAAAAAGATAGAGCTAAACCAATTAGAAACTTAGGGCATAGCCTATATAAATAGGCCTTATGCTCCACACTTCAGACACTTTCACTTCTCTACACACCTTCTTCCCCTTCTTAGTTCAAACCAAACTCATCTTTGAGAGTCAATTGAGACTATTGGTAAAGACGACGATATTCTCCTTGGAGTTCAAGAAAGTGATTAAGCGCCCTTCGAAGAACGAGAACTCTCTTCATCTTTTACCTTTCTGGGTTCCTTTTGTTTGAGTTTTTCTTTGTGGTTATGATTTTATTTATCACGTTCTTTTTAGTTTATTTTATTATGAGTAACTAAACTTATAGTTAGAGTTATGATGGATCCTATTGCAAACTTTGTGTATTTTTACTTTAATGTTGGTGTTGGTTTTCCTTTAATGTTTGATTTTTTATTCTATTGGATTATATTGTGTATGTTAAGATTTGATCACTCTTAGAATCTCATAGTTAGTTGCATTGTAG